AATGTGGTAACTTACCCTAAGGGTCCAAGGACCCAAATAATGGGGTTTTAGGGCCCAAATACTATAATATTAATGGTATTTGGGCCCTAAAACCCTATTATTTGGGTCCTTGGACCCTTAGGGTTAAGTACGGCTCCTGAACAGCAAACCCCTTTTTCCTGAGAGCAGGAGCGCTCGATTCACCATCAACCTGCTTCTTGGAAACCCGGTGGTACCCTTTTGCCCTTTTTGGGTATTGGGTTTAGGGTTTAGGGTTTAGGGTTTAAGGTTTAGTATAATATACCAACAGGGAAAAAGGGCACCCTTATTGTAATAAGGTTACTGGGCTGCCAAGGCTTATTGCGTTGATCTTTGGCACGATCTCGCCGCTAATGTGCCTCAGCAAAATGTGATCATGCCCAGACCCAGTCTCGCAGATTATTGATCCACCAAATGCAGGGATATTACACGCGCTGAAGGAGTATACCTATACTATGGTTAAAGATTCCTCGTAGGATTAAGGAGCAGGATGCTTATATACCTCAAAAAAAAGGTATTGTAATTGTGCAGGCCCCTACATTATAACCGCAGAGTTGTGTCTTAAACCCTACACCCTGAACCCTAAACCGCATGGCTGCCACCTTCCCACTCTTTTGCTGCCTAAGTCGCTGCAGTCAAGAAAACAGTTCTGATCTTCAATGATTGGGCATTCTTTGGAATACCTCATGCATGTTTGGTACCGAATATATAGCCATAGATAAGATTTTGTCTTCCGCCGGTGTACGGTATTTATGTAAAGACCGTAAACCTAATGGGTTCAACCATCAAAAACGCTACTGAATTCTGGCTATTGGTTGCTAAGAGTTACTTTCCTCTGCCCTCGACACACAAGTTGGATCCTTCAATGGGCTCAATTCGAGCGTTTGGCATCGGGATTCCGCAGGTCTTTGCTGGCATGGGTGAATTTCTACATTTGCTGCGCCCTCAGCTGGCTATGAGGGACGGAGTGTTAAGATAGCCTGAAGTGGCCGAATCATCCCCCAAAAGCCGCAATTACAGGGGGAACCTAGGGGGTAGTATAGAGGAGGGGTAGTGGTTCACGTGCTGTTTCCAACATGGCTGAGCAAGCAGCAAGTCTGGCTTCCACCCAGCGTTTGCTTTCAAGGTCGAGTATTCTACGGCTACTTGTTCATCTACGCGGATGCTCAGCTTGTGAGTCGATTTTGCAGGCGATTATTATTTTGAGTTGAGTTCCACTAAGCCTGATCAACGACCTGAACTGTCAGTCAACAAGGCATGTGGGCTCTCACATGCAGCTTCTATTCGTCCACTAATTCTTTTTTCCCAAATATATCCACATGATCCATGGTAGAGATTGCTACAACAAGAAGCATTCAGTTTCCTTATTATCCTTATGCATTGCTCGTGTCCATGGGTTGATTACAAGTTCAGAAGACACCTCCATCCTGATAGCTCAGCCCATTCCCCTACGCGCAGGCGCCTGTTATGGCTTTTACTTTTTTACAGCTCTTGGCTGAAGGGGCGTGGGAGAGTGCAAAAGTAAATTGAAGCCAGTATAGGGTTTCCCTGACGAAAGCAGGGTCTCCGGGGTTCAGGGGACTTGGAGAAGCGCAGGGAGTATTGTTGAGGATCAGATTTTTGCGACCCGCTCCCCCTTGAGCACCAGTACATGGAGGCTGATCTCCAACTAATATTGGACCACCAAAAGAGCCCTAGAATCAAAAGACCCCTGTCAATTTGGGCCGCAGAGCTAGTTGAGGTTCCAAGTTAGTTTTGGGGAGGGTAAAGTTTTTGCCGGGTCGTTTGAATTCGGTCATCACGCTTTGTGGGTGCGCACATGGTCCGTGGCGGTTCAGTTCTTTGCGAGGGCGGCGGCGGCGGCGGCGGTGGTGGTGGTGGTGAGGGGTGCATCACGCAATCCAAGCAAGGCTCAGTAGGGGGTGTGCTTGGAAAGCCTTCTCGAAATTTCCTACAGCCTGCTTTCAGCATCTGCACCAGGCATGGGTTTCTTGTGGAAACCTTCTGAAACAAAGGAGACAAAGAAGTCCGACTCGGGTGGGTACTTCTTTGTATCCCAGCTCCACCATGTGCATCTTGGAGTGCATTTAGGGTAAACATGGGCTTGACGCAAATTGCAACACGGGAGTTCCTCCAAAGTCTCTCGATAATCCCTAATAGGGACCCCTACGATCCTTTTGTAGTCCATGCATATCCCTAGTGTCACTAGAGTACGCCCACTTTGAGAAAGCCCCATATTGCCCGTCGCTTTGACAAACATGTGCTTCGAGCCACGGTAACGTCCTACAAGCGTGGAAAGAGATGTTAACGGTAAGAGGGGTGTTTGCGGTAGGAAATGACCGACTGCGCTGTATCTCCTCGCGTAAATATTCAGCCTTTCTTCCTCTGCTTATTGGCCTAATCTCATCAGGATAGGTTGCTATTATTTGGATGGGAAGAAATAAGGATGTGGTGAAATCTAATGACAATCATAATTAGGGTCTGTAACCTAGCTTGTATGTACCGGTGGACCTCAAGTGGTTGCAGTTTTTGTCAGACATCCAGAAGTACATAAGTCGCGAGTTACCAGAGTGGGCTGCAGGTATGTAGGCCTCCTCGTCTACACCCTGCTGATGACGGGCATGTTTCTGGACCGGGTGGGTTGTTCTGTGCATGCCTATCGTCTTTCTAGTGAAGGAGGAAGCGACCCTAAACCACATAACCTGCTTTGTAACCAGGACCTTCCTTGTACCCTTAATGGGGATATATATGGTCCCTAATAGTGGGTACTTAGGCCCTAATAAAGGGTAGGAGGAAGGTCTAGGAATATTGTAGATTGTAGCTTCCATTTCTTTTCCATCCTACTAACAGAAAGGAGAGGAGTTCCCCATCGTCCTGCAACCATCCGCCTGCTCAACCCACGACTGCTACCCAAGACATCAGGGTTTACAGCAGGGTTAGTAGGACAGAAAAGATGCATAAGCAATTTCTGCTAACTTTTCGCGTCACACTCGGTTTTGCAGCGTGGAACAGTTGGACCAGCTAAGTACGGTACCAACATGCAACGAGTCTGCCACAAAAGGTTTCTCAATGATTTACCTGCGGAGCTCCATATGGCCACTGCGCACACGGTCTTTCTTGGGGATTTGGTCTTGGGGGCCTTTGCGTGCTGGGTCCGGGACATTAAAAAAAGCGTACATGCGTCTAAAACAAGCAAGAACCAGCAAGCACAAGCTTATTGAAAAAGATATCCACAACTTAGACCATTGACGTCCGCCGGACTTGTGAAAGCTTATGTGGCTCTGCAGATACAGGGACTTTCTATAACACGCCCGCCGATGAACCCAATACATGACCGAAACTACTCGGCCCCGCAACTCAGTAGCCATATGGCCTTCCAGGGGCAGCAGCAGCCATTTTGTGCCGTTGCATCTATGATATGGCTGGGAGAGGGGACTGGCACAGACAAGTAACAGCCTAAACAAGACCGCCCTGATTCTGAGACTTCTCACACGGCATTATTTCCTGAAATGCTCCCGATCCTAGAGCGCCTCACGAGGTTCCTGGGACGTCTTGTTCAGTCTTAAGTTTGCAGGCGCACTCAACTAGTATCAATAATTGGGGCAGCCAACGCACGATTTCAAGTCGTAGTAAAGGCCCAGCGATAACAAGTACATAACGTGCCACCCTAGCCGAAATCTACGCATTCATGCTCGTAGTCCTTTAATTAGTTAGGAACCCACTCAAGTTATGACCAGGTTATACCGGATATCCCTCTAAAATCATGTCAGCTTTCATTTTACCATCCCTTTTCTGTTCCATGTGATTCTCCCTTCCGCTTTTAATCCTACTTATATAAGTCCAGTGTAATATACAGGGCCAATATTGCTCCCTAAGCTCTAAACCCTTAAAGCACTCAACCCTGCACTCTAGACTCCTAAACCTGAAGCCCTGAAGCCTACTTGCGGAGCTTAACGCCAGTCCCGGGCATCTAACTACATCCCTGCGGGCATCAGCATCGTGGCGTACCTCAACTGCTTCAGAAGGGCTTGAAGGTTTCGGTAGGAATTTCCCAAAATTTATTTCTATTCTAAGGCGGGTCCCCATACAATCTTCTCCGTTCTGGGAACGGTACGAAGGCCTGTTTTGTTTTGGCTTGCATATCCCAGCGTCAGTGAAAACAATGGCTATGGGGAATTCGGACCATAAGGAAACAAGGTTCGTGAGCAGAAGGCAGGTCTGCTCCAAGTGGCCTCCCATGTTGGGCATTGGGTACTGCCCCTACTAATTATAGTTCCCCTTAAGTAGATAGAATATGGGGTATATGGAGATCTTATTATAATATACCCAAAGCCATACTCTATCTACTTAAGGGGGACTATAACATTAAGAGTTGGAAAAAACATACAGCTTCGCCCCTCTATCCATCCTCGAGGCGTGAACCCGAAGGTATTGTGTTTTTATGTTGTTGCGAAGAGTGGCTTACATAATAATCCGAACTGGGCGGGTGTGATCGTGAATCTTCAGGAGCATTTTCGTGGCCTGAAAACACTGCGTCTTGCGTGGCTTTAAGCTGAGAATTTGAAGTGGGGGTTGCCCAAAATTGTTTTGGGGTCGCTTAGAAAGGAGTATAGTAATTTGGGGCCGAGATTATTGAGGTACCCCTGTTTGTAGGAAGCTGCAAAGTGGCTAGTTGAGGCTGATCTACGCCGTGGTGTCCTACAGAGCCTTTATGAATGACTTCGAGTGGGAGAGTTTGCCTTGGGAGGCCTCGGACCATGGTTGCGTCGTGGTTGCCTTCGCTTCTGTTTAGGGTTTAGGGAGTCTTTGTAATCTTTTTCTGAACTGTATTTAGAAGCCTTTGAGTTAATTCAGTGAAACCAGGCTCACAGGATGCTAGTGTCATTGCTCATGCTGTTGCATGATTGCGGACCGTTGATAGTCGCCAATTCCAAGCATAACTGTCGCCAGTATCTTTGCGTACCTCGTTCGGTGTTGTGTCTTTCAGTTTCCCTTGGTCAAGCTGAGCGTTTGCGAAACGAAATGGGCGGAGATCAAACCTTCACTTTTTTAGAAAAGACGGGCTTTCATAAATCAGGTGTGGCGTAAGCAATGTGTTGCGTTTCGTAAGACATCGTAAGCAATTATGTGGCAACGTTGCCCCAGCGTCGTAAGCTGTTGATTTGTTGGTGTTGTTGTTTATGTCCTCAGGGGACCAGTCATTGCAGTTGCAGCAGCTGCAGCAAGCCAGCGTATGCGGCGTAAGCAGGAACGACCACGAAGTCATGTCATAAGCAAAATCTGAGAAATGATAAGCTACCGTAAGCAGTTTTGTCTTCAAAAGAAAATTTGAGTAGGGTTCCGGGCACTGCTCAACTGGCTCAAGGGAGTGACAGCATAAGGAGGGTAGGTGGGGTATCCACAGAGATACCAAAAAACTGCTTACATTCTTTGAAGGATCTTGCAGTCGTGTGCGCTCTGAAGACCTACTTGGCCAATGCTGCATCCACTATCGCCACCGAAGCCACTACTCCCGCTGCCAAGCAAGACCCGCACGAGCTGCAGACCCACGATCCATGTGACTGAAATTTGTAAGGGTAGCCGCGTCGTAGCGGCACTTTCGGATGTTCGATTCACACGCATCGCTGACGCTAGCCAGAAGCCAGGCTAAAACTATCTAAAACTGATGGCGCGGTGATCCAGAAAGAACAGTACTAACAACCATCGTAATGATAGTACCACCAGCAGTATGGCAGCAAGAATGTGAGATTTACCAGCATGCATGTTTGCACACTGGCCTGGCAATCCCTGCGAAACAAGCGAGAAGCTCGGTGGGCTTGAGGTAGGGGTTGTGGGGCTGCTTGCACAGGTTCCGGTCGGATGGAAAGTAATGAATGGGCCTGAAAACTTCTTATGGTTGTAGCTTCCTTGTATAGTTGTAGAGTACCTCAAAATAGACCTCACCAATCTTCGAATTTCTTTAGGCTTCTACACTAACTTCGTCTTCCAACTGCCCACCGAAGCTCCTAGATGACAGGAGATCGCACCCGACGCTGAGGGGAATGACTACGTGCCAGAGGCTCTGCCTATCTAATTGGCCTGGTTTGGAGTGAGAGAATTATTTTATGGGGATAATATGGTGATTGTAGTCCCTCATTCCCGACTAACCACCACTAAGTTCAGTGATGTGAGCGATTTGAATATCAGGCTCTGTTTGCTTATGCAACTAAGTCGGAATTTCAAGTTTCCATATCACCATATAAACTGATAAGCTCTCACTGATTGCGGGTACTGTGGGTCTTGTGGGCACTGTGGGTCTTATGCTCATAGCAGGCCCTGATGATCCATGACCCCATCGGAATTGGCCATGGTCAAAGTAACAGTCCGTGAGGAGTTTACCTGTCAAGCTCTCCCTAAACCCTCAACCCTACACCTTCATGGCGCAACTTTGAGGATTTAGGCAGAGATTTCACTGAAAATGTTTGGCTGCCAGCGCTTGTGTGATTGTGCCACAAGTTCTCCAAGTGGTTTTGCGAGCTTGGTTTTGCTAGCGCTGAGCTTGGGGTTCCTGAAAAGTGATAGGGCCATAGTATATTGGAGTAGCAGAAGTTGGGACTTTATTTTTGAAAACCCCACCGTCCCTGCCCTGAACTAGAAGATCTTCGGGCTGACCAGTCAGCATAAACTTCTGGTCACTTGGATGGTGGAAGTCAGATTGCAAAAGAACACTGCAACCGAAGCCACCATGCCAACTGTGAAATTCATATTTGGGGGACCCCAAAGAGGGAAACCCAGGAATAAAGTTGTAACATAATCGGAATACAAGGACCCTGGCAGGTACTTTGCCATCATATTCTTGGGAAATTCTTAGGGCTTCCTGTTTGGGATCCCCGTCAGAGTACTTTTACGGGGTGGATCTCAAGATTAGGGGTACCTTCTTAGGGTTTAGGGTTGGGGGGTCCCTATCATAAGGATTATAGTAGTCGGGGGTCTATATCGGGGTCCTTCTAGGCAATTGTACACCTGTGGATGGCCTCCAGGCCCACGAGATCGCACAATTTTGGTAGAGCTTAATGCCACAGGTAATGTAACCTGCATAGTGTAGCATGCAGGGTTTAGGGTAATGTTGGACCTCCTTTAGCC